CCTATGACATGCCAATTGCTGTAATTATGGGCTTATAGGCCCCTAATACATTTCTGAGGAAAGCTGTGTGTGCCCCCTCGGAGAGTTGAGCTTGTCTGTCATGTCATATAGGCAACTTGTCTGTGAACCTGTGAGTGATCGATTTTGCTTGTGAAATGTTTTAAAATGACTTTTCATGAAAGGCTCTCGTATTAAACACACATCTACTTTGTGACCCTTCATTTTCTTGCAATTTTTTTCGGAGGACTTTTCTCTGCTAGCCAAAGCCGTTTCTTTCCCCTTATCATTGATGCTTAATCCTCTAAACCCACATGTGTTTATTATGAGTTGGTCCCTGTGTATGTTTCATTCTTTAATGCCCTTATTACTGGGCCAGATTTATGTAAGGCAATACCAGTCAAATATTATCCCAGGGGCACCAGCAGAAAGTGTACATTTGTGTCACTATAACGTCTGGGCTCTACACACGGAGCTTGAATTTTCCTCCATCCCCTTTGGGACCGCCGCGAGACAGGGCAGCTCTGTCTCCCCCTGTCCTTTCCCCGTCCTCCTGCTCCGCCTTTGATGTCCCCCTGCCAGAAGTCTGATTTGTGGGTTGGCCATGTCCTCCCCTCACTAGCCCCGAGCCCACAGAACATGGGGACGCAGTAGGAGTTCCCAGTATTTTGGGGTAGTTGGAGTGGAGAAAGGAAAGGGAGAGAGTGGGAGGAGGGGGGGGGGTCAGACCACCACAGAGCCAGGGAGACCCCCGTCTTCCTCCTCGCCGGTTCCCACCGCTCCCCACCGCTCCCCACCGCCCCGCTAGCTCCCAACACGGCACACACATGTTGAAAAGGTCAGGTCTTGATAGACAACAGAGCACCGACAATTACGTTCTCAGTGGCTGGAAGTCCCCATTTTCTGTGTGAGCGTGTGTGTGCAGAAGGAGAGAGTGTTTTTTTTTTGTTCGTAGAGAATAAAGAGGCAGTGTTTTTAGGGGAAAGGGAGCCTTGTACAGGGGGAACTGCATGTAAGGACTTGTGCCTGAATTGCTTCATGTCTTTCTGTCCATTTGTGGAAATTGGAGAATGCGCATGAGAGAGTGCAGGTGTGTGAGTGTTAGTGCACAGGTTTGTCTGTTCAGTGTAGATAACCACATATATAACGGGTGTGTGGGTTTATTCATACCTGGGCTGCCAGACTGATTTGTTTTTTTAAATGGGATATCCATTCAACACCTGGAGCTAAGACTTTAAGACGCATACACAGCGCACTGGTGCACAATGACCTAAATTAGGGGGTCTGACCTTAGAGCCTGCAGGACCTGGATGCTAAGGACCGTGCATAAACACACACATTGAAACACACACACTCGGACTTCTTCCAGTGTCTTCGCAGGATTTTCTCTCTTTGGTGTAATTTCTCCTTCACACCGAACACCCATTTCTAGCTCTCTAAGGATGGCTTTCATGGAGGAGTGCGTAGGGAAAATAGTCACGGCGCAGTTATGACAAGAGCAGACCGCAGTTTGACGGATCTGGAGATCACACAGAGAGGATGCCGCGGTCCCTTAACAACCAAAGAGTACTGCTGTAATGTATAATGTGTTGCAGCTGGAAGTTTGCCTTGCATACCTTGTACCACCAGCTTTTTGCATTTATGCAATGTGCATGTGGTTTAATTTTTGATCTCAGGGGTCGCCTTGGCCTATGAAAGAGCAGTTTGGGCATTGTGCCCCCTGAATGCCTGCACACCTATAGTGCCTGAAAGGAAAGGGGTCCTGAGGGGTGCTGGGAGGCCCCCCTCAAGTTGCTATGCATGTTAGAGAGATGAAGGCCTGTAAATGGCTGCTAGTAATCGTCCCTATAAAAGAGCAGCTGCATGCAGCTGTAAGCTGTAAGTATGGCTGCTGTACTTGGCCTCCCTTTGCTGCTTGATATTCAGGTGAACAAGGAGTAAAAGTGTGTAAAAAGTGTGTGTCCGACTCTTTCTCCGTGTCAATGTGAGGCTGCCTGTTTATGCGTGCAGAGGTTGCTCTTTATATGCACTTTCCTCTGGATCATTTCCAAGTCCAATCTATATCGCAACCAGCCTCTGGAATGTACCTTTGCTCCTGCGAAATTTCCCCTCAATCACTTACCCATGTGTGTGTGTGTGTGTGTGTGTGTGTGTGTGTGTGTGTGTGTGTGTGTGTGTGTGTGTACATGAGTAACCAGCCATAAATGTTACCGCTGTTTGTAATGGGCCAATTACAAGACACAAGCTTGTGTCAAATGACACACGGCTCCACTCTAAAAACACGAATGCACAACCCACTAATGGAATCAACTTTGTCATCGTTGACACAGATGAACTAGTTAGGGCCTTAGTTAACGGGACCTAATTCTACCCCGAGGAGGAGGGAGGAGATCGCTCTGTAATCTGCGAAGGACCTGCTCCTTGTGTCCGTGACTCATGCATGCTCGCGATACGGCTGGGCGGAGCTGAGGGAGACACCGGGCTAAGATCGCTGTTTGTGTCTCCGTCGCAAGGCAATCCACTCTCTATTGTACATAATAAGGTGTCATAGAACGGGGTTGCCCAGTGGAAAGTCTGTTTGGCTGGAAAGGAAATATAACAATTGCAGGTATAAAAAGGTGATGATGTGGAGACTGCAGAGTTTCTATTGTCAACTCTGCAATCTTTTTATGACTGGCCAACACACCGAAGTGTTAGACTCCGTGCTTTCATTGCAGTGTTAGAGTTCAACGTGCTCGGATCAAGTTGAGATATGGATGAAGGCGGTTATAGATGAAAGCGTGTATGTTTAAAAACACATTTTTAAAAATGACCAGATATTTACTTTGATTTAATTGTGCTATGGGAAAAGGAAAAGACACATTTAGGCATATTTATATAAAACAAGATACAGTGTATAATATATTGAAACGAATTAACTGGACTGTACTTCCTCAATAAAAGATGTTTAAATGCCTTAAATATATATTATTTAAAGTTGGACCAGGGATTATATTATAATTATTTTAAACATTATTTATCTTAAATGTTATGTATGTTGTATTTTCATGTTTTACCTGCTTGCGTTATAAGATTTATTCCAAATATAAAGATGTTCTCACACTATGCACAACAACCACACATACCTCAAAATAAAAACTTTGACCGTTTAAAGATAATTGGATTGACCCGGTTATGGCTCCTAAAACGATCACCACCTTCTCGGGAATGGATGATAAGAACAGACGGACAAGAGGCACACTCCAATCCCCCATAGGCAATGCAACTCATTTCAATCACATTCCTTAAAAACAATCCCCCTTTTTCCTTCGCTTCACTCACTGGGAACTATGTGTGGCCTTAAGGGGGAAACAGGAGTCATCAACTCACTCAGAGATTGTTTTCTCCGCAGCATCTTTATGGTCAGATTAACTGTGCATCAGCATCTATAAAACTGTTTTAATGGGTTAATGTTGTTAAGTACACAGACCTCAGTTGCCAGTGTTTTCTGGGCTTGTTGTTTTAATTTCTTCTTCTCCTTGTTAAATGACATAGAACCAATTATTTTCTCACTGTTGCTCTTTCCGATGCCCCCATTTGCGTAAACGTTTGCATCAAAATCGATCGCTATCATCCTCTCCTCCTCATACGTGCATCATTTCGTTTTTTCTCAGGCTCAATTGCAAGGCATAAAGATCATCAAGACACAAAAGATGCAAGTTTATTCTTCTTCACTTCACTTAAAACGTAAAACCGCCACTCTCTCCTGCTGTGTGGCCAAAACTCTCACCTCTTCCTTTCGACTCCAAGAATCGCACCATCGAGACACCTGATTCATGCATTTCAGTGAGGCGAGCAAATCCAGACAGGGGGGGCTGACCTGTGCTGTAACCATGACAACAATGCTGGTGGCGATGAACCTGCCTGCCATCATGTCGCGTATGCAGAACGAGGAATGAACGAAACAAAAAGAGCTTTCAATAGGAGCAACGTGTCACATGTGTTGCTGTAGCAGAAGGACCTGTACTCTAAAAATCTAGCCTTCATTTTACAGCACTGGAACCCTCCTTAAAATGAACTTCACTGGCCTATTAAAATAGTTGCATTAATTACTACAGCAGCTGCTGGAGCTCTTTCTCCAGCGCAGTGTCTCCAGCCACAGCCCCCTCAGGCTGGACTCGTGCTTACGTGGTGCAGTTGAATGGACGAGGTGCAGATCGGACCACCTGGTTGGCTGACCTGTGGTTCCCTGCTGATTGTCACCTCTGGCTGATAATGTGCGGCAGGCCGTGCTGTCTCTGTCTCTGCTCCTGTTGGTATGTCTCGTCCATCGGCCCCTCAGGCTCTTCCACCAGACCTCCCAGCACAGCACAGCACAGCCTCCAGCTTCCTCACCACGAGTTAAGACCATGTCTGTTGTTAACCTGCGGCTAACTAGTCGCTTCCTGTGTCCCAAAGATCGCGCCTGCAGGTATTAAATGCTCATTCATCACATACATTAATGTTTTCATATTCCTTTAAAAGGTTGTTTTGCTTTAAACTCAAAGGCACAAGAAGAGAGCTTATAATGAGTCACCAACATTAGAATTCCTACCATAATAATAATAATCATCTTTTACCATATTGTTCAATCTGATTGCATTGTTTAAATCATCCTGACTCTCTATGGGACTTTTAACATTGGTTAATTAAAGGCCAATTCTAACTAATGAAGGGAGGACAGAAGTCTCGTCCTCATCAGCATCCAAATCCTTTTTGCCTCAGCTCGTCCGTACTCATTGGCCAGTTTTTCATTCTGTGAAATCAGTTTTAATCAATATAAATGACAACTTGAATCTCTGAATGGACTCTGTGCTAAGATGAATACACACACACACACACACACACCCACACACATATACGGACTGAAGGGGGATGGAGTCTTAAGTCATCCAACCAGCCAACCAGCTCCTCTTGCTGAATAGAGCACGATTACCGAAAGGAGAGGGGAGGCGCAACGGGGCAAAGGAGCTGCCGGCTCTCTATATCCCGCTGCTCAGAGGCGCTCCGGCTCCATTCACTCCAGAGTCCCGCACTGTCAAGGACCCGCGCAGACCGGTGCAAGGCGAGCTCTGGATAGCACACACAAAAAAAGGAAGACTTCTCTCTTGTGATTTTCCAAAAGGATCTGCGCGATTGGATTACATTCTTCTAGGACTATTAAATACTATCAAAGAAAAAAAAACTAACCGTGCGTCTATATTCTGGTTATTCTGACGGCCGCGCGTCTTGTTTGATATTCCAGTGAACTGGGCTGAAGTTGGGAGCCGCTCGTTTGTTAAAGGGTGAAGGACAAGTGCAATGCTCTTCAGACCTGTCCGTGCCTGAGGAGCTGCGTATCGAGCAGCCACGCAGATCTCCTTGGAGAGGACGCGGTCCAATGTGAATACCCAGAGACAACGTCCAGCCACTTCAGCTTTTTTTTTTTTTTTTTTTTTTTGCTTTTTTTGCTTACAGCTGCAAACAAGTGCACGGAGTTCGACCGAGCCCGCTGAGCAGCTCGGACACCCCGGTTTTACCCCCTCCCTAGAGGGGATGGTTGTGGGTCCTGTGGGGCCAGGAGCGATTCTGCGGCTCCTACAGATTAGCACCTTTTTCTCGTTCGGGGTTCGATCTGAATCAAAGGGAGATGAGAGCCGCACTTTGTTACTTCCTGCTGTGGACGACGTACCTGCTGCTGGCCACCTCTGAGGTAAAAGTTAGCAGGACTGCGCACATCCAGAAACCGCGCTGCGCCCCGGCGGCCCCAGCGGCACTTCGATGGGGGCCGGAGGGTGCAAAGTTCCCAGCGGAGCGCGCATTTCACTCTCAGAAAGAAGTATTTTAATAAAGCATGTATTTGGCGTAGAAAACAAGATAACGAGCAGACGTCATTTTGATGATTTATTCATTCATTTGAATCAACCTATGATAAATCCAAACTGCCTGTTATAGGATGCAATTAAGAGTATAGACGGACGCTATCATAAGAAGAGGCTGTGAACATCGATTCATAATTCGAGAAGGAATAAACAGCACCTCGGCTTCAGCCACTAGGAGGGCAGTGACTGCGCTCCTCAGAGGACCGACATCGCGTCAACATTACAGTTATTTTTGGTGTTTGGTGCCAAATCTGTTTGTAGCCATGAGCCAACTGGGCAAACTTTTTGTTTGGGCTAATCGTTCATGGGAACCGCTCCGGGCGCTATAAATAGCCCGTGTTCCCCCCGCGGGGCCGCGCGTTAACTCCCGAGGTGCCCGCAGGACCTGCGACAAGTGCAAAGTGCGGGCGAGCTGCGGCTCACGCGGGCGGATCCGCGCTACACGTCCAACTTCCTCCAGAAAACCCGGCGGGTTAATGCGCGTTTCACATTTCGCCGCAGTGGGTCAAAGAGTGTAATTCCACCCGGTAGCGGCTCACTGAGGACATTTTATTAATTCGATTAATGTCACATAAGTGGGCTGCAGGTGTTTCCACCATTATTGAACTTCCAGTGGCGCCTTTAACGCACAGGCTGTTTAGAAGTATCACTGATGGGGGGCTGCTGGTTGTAGTTGGCACGCGGTTGCAAAATTGTCACAATCGGAGATCCTCCTCGTGGTTGTTTGAACTCAATACGTTGACTTACACCGACAAACAATTACAAAAACGTTTTGTCAATGACCTGACACATCTGTAACCTTCATCTCTTGTTTATTTTTTTTTGCACCCCCCTAAAGGAAGTGGAGTTTCCCCAGGAGCTGATAGACAGACTGTCCCACAGTGAAATCCACAGCATCAGCGACCTCCAGCGGCTACTGGACATTGACTCCGTAGGTAAATTCTGCCTCTTGATACTTTCATCAACAGAGATGTGACTGAATGTTCGCATGTGACGCTGCTATTGTTGATGTGACAGCACGGAGCAAAGGGTGGTGCTAAAAACAGCCGCAGCATTATTATTAGTATATCAGCAGTATATCCGTATAAGCTGTAGAAGTAGGCTCTACTGTGGAATCCCTTTCAAACATAGTCTTCCCGGTGGTTACACCTGCATGTGGTACATTTATATTTTTATATGTGCTCGTTTGAGGATCAAGCCAAATGTATTTATTATTGCCTAAATGCATGCAAAGGTCATATCTAAAAGAATCGTGCATGCCTTGTTGTTAAACTGTGATTGTGTGAAAGTAATTCAAAGGATCCAAATACGACGTAGAGACCCATTCCAGCGGGGTTTAGTGGATTTGGTGAAAGAACAAGGACACCTGTTGTTCTAGCACATTCTCATAATTACAAGTTGTGACCCCTGAAATCCAGCCCTGGCGTGCGTGATAAAGCAAGTTTACCCTGATAGGTGCGTTTACTGTACACACGTGACAAGGGTGGACTTTCACTGGTAGTTTTTTGGTTGTTGTGCATATTCCTTCAGCTGCTGCAATCAACTGTCTTTATAGCAACTCGACTGGCACACATGTCGCCCTGTAAACAGAGACAGCGACTCTCCGGTCAGGAAGGTTCCTCCAGTTTCAGGTTCTTGGCGGTTCTGGGGGACCGGTCAGGCTGTCTTAGATAAGGTAACAGCGGTGCGCTGGGAGAAGGCGTTTGCCTTCACTTGAATCTTTACTTTGGCTACTGAGGCTTTTACCATACATCCATTTCTGGGCTCGGCCCCAAAGGCTGTTTGATGGAAATAGGTAGTCACAAAGTTAGACAGCTCATTGGTAGCCTCAACACAAATTTTCATTGAAGGACCGGTCCTTCCCTTTTCCGATGGATACATCACCGACGACATGTATTAGTACCGCATTATGAGTGTGTTTCCTTTATTCATACACAATCAAACAGGCGCGTTTGCCCCACTTTACGTTGAGCCCAGAATAGATCCCTGGTTTTGCTTCTAGCATGAGAAGAGGTGTTTATAATTGAATTAACATGTCTTTCTTCAAACGCAGGAATGTTTTGCAGGGTAACAGTAGTAGGCTGATTATTATTACGAGGACATAAACCTGTCTGACGGCCAGCTTGGCGGCCCAGGCGAGCCCATTAAAAGACCGTTGACGCCAGCCAGAGGGGTATTTTCAGAGCTTTTGTTGCAGATGGCCAGGACAGTAAAGCTACCGGTATGGGCTGAACTCTACGTATCATAGCATGTCAACCAGGGAAGGAGAAAGGAAAAGGCTTAAATGAGGCGTTGAGTTAAACCTTTGATCATTGGTACCTGGAAAATGTTACACCGACTGATGCTGTGATTAAAGGTCAAACCCAGAATTGCCTTTATTATTTGGATGAAGTCCTTATCAGATGATCTTGTCATTATCGGACGTTGCTGTCCCGGGAAGGATGACTCTGTAGTTTAGTGCGTAAGGATGTATATGTGTCAGAATACCTTGGGAAGCCCCGCAGGGCTTTTCTTACTTCAGCGCTGCGGTGCTTGGCGCGAGTCTCCCTGCACACACATCCTCTTGGTGTCTCCTCCTTTGACTGACAGATAAGATGACCCGCCGTAGTCTGCAGATGGCTGTCTGGCCCCTGAGGTGCTCCTCTCCTCGCTTTTCTTCCTCTCTAACCCCGTCTCCCTCCTTAGGCGGCCCCTGGCCTGCCTGTTCTTATCTCTCTCAGTGAAGGACTCTGACAGAAAGGGGAACCTGACTCTTGGCGGGAGGGTTAAGGGGGGGGGGGCAGAGGTGGAGGAGGGAGTAGCAGGATTCTGGAGATTGTGTTCCTGCAACACTTCGACTCAGAAAGGCTGCAAGTTGTCGCGCAGTTTGCTTTCTGACGAGCCGGCATAGTGTTCACGAGTGTGTGCGATTGAAATCGAAGTGCCTGGAAAACACATTCGTTGTGCTTCTTTCTGCTTTAACGCCTCGGCCCATCTGACCTAAAGCCATTATTTTTTACCAACTCAGTCATGTAACTGCAGAGAAGGAAGAAGCAGGAAAGAGAGACAACGAGGGACTTTGTACATGAAAACCCAAATATGCTGTACAAGTGGAGGAAGAAAGAAAGAGCCCAGGAGGAGTAAAGGGAGGGAGCGACGGCCCTCAGCTAACGGAGCGAGTAATTTGCGAGTCATGAAAGCCTGATTCACGGCGAGAGACCGTCTCCTTTCTCTAGTCTCAGTTACACGACGCTCCGGGCGTGTCGTTGGTTTTCGCGCTAACCTGCAGCCAACAGAAGAGCAAACCCCTCACCCTTTATACTTTTGCCTCCCTAAACTCCCCTCTTCTCTCTACTTGTCTCTTGCATCTTCCTGCCTGATCACTCTGATTGCTTTCTTTCCCCACGCTCCTCCCTTTGGCGCAAAGAAAACACCCTCAGAAAGTTCCTTTTATTGTGCTGAGAAAAGGGCTCTGCAGTCTATAAAAGACTTCTTTATGCTCTCCCTCTCTTTCTCCTGTCAGCTCTGACACAAACTGTCTCCAGTGGTCACAGTGTGACGCCCTCCCTCACTCCTGATGGGGGTCGGCAGAGGGGTGGGGGTGAGGAGAGGGCTAGTCGTGATGGAGACAGAGGAGCCACAGTGGGAGTTCTGTCAGTGACCCGCGCTGTTAAAATGTTGTCGGGTAGGAAAAATCCGTCGAAATGAAACCACCTGTTGTGCAGACGGTCTGTGTGTGTCTACGTCGCGCACATATGGAGACTATGTGCTACGTCTATTCGGCACGTCCACGTGTGTTTGTACACTGTTCCTCGGCCGCAGCCATGACTTCTGCCCTGGACCTTCCGCTCCGGGTCATTGGCTGTCTGACTGACGGCAGCCTAAGAGAAAAATCCCTTCTCTCTCCCAGAGGAGCAGACCTGAAAAAAAGAAAGGAGACATCCAAAAGCAAATAAACAACCAATCCCAGAGGTGGATTGTGTATAGTTAGAGGAAATCCCTTCAGATGACTCTGGTCAGAGCACAAAGGAGCTGGACAAGGGCAATGTGTTTGCCTTTGGCTGAGCTTTGTTCTGCTGGTTTACTTTGGGTTTAGAACGTTACGGAGGATAATGAGAGGACTTTGCTTAGTTGTGAGTGTGTCTTTACGTTAAGTGTACAGGTGTAGGATTGTGTCGGCCTGATGCTGTACCTACAGACAGGTAGACCCACCCACTTAGCAAACACTCCCAGGCTGCTCTTTGGGAAAAGGCTGTATCCTGAGAACAAGCTCTATCGCTTTATAGCCGCTCTGGCACTCTTCTGTAATCCAAGTGTATTCTGGGTGGGGACCAAAACAAGCACGCTTTATCAGATGACCATGACTGCGAATATGCTGAGTTGGCTATATTAGTCTGGCGTTAAGGAGTCTTAAGGAGCTGCCACTGCAGCATAACAAAACATTTACTTTTCCAAGTTGCTGAATGATTGAAAAAGCAAACATTTTTAGGTAAACGAGAGGCACCAAACCACCAATTAGGTTGAGGGATAATGGCGGCTGAGCACCACCTGTTAAAGGACCACTTTAGTCCGCAGCCCGTCTGTGAGAGCCAGTTGTTTTTGAAGGAGTATTGCTGACTCACTTGTGTCTAGATAAGTTCAGCCAAATGAGTGAGTGAGGCTGACGCACAAGTCTTGCAATTACACCGAGGTTTTGTGTAACGTTCGCTCGCTGCCTCTACCGTGTGTGCGCTGCACGCTCTGCTTCAGTTTGTGACATCACCGGCAGTCGCCCTCTCAGCCGCCAAATTACGTGAAACCCTTTCCCTCTCAGGGAATCAAAGCGTGCGTTACGGACAGCTAAGGGGCCCGTAGGAAGTCACCATCTCATTATGGGAGTGTGAGTAACCAGCACATCATTAGTCGACTTCTGGGGAGGCCTAGCAAGCCACCGACCACAGTCAACACCTGGAACAACGGCCTCATCGCTGGTTTATCGGTTGAGCGTTTCTTTGTGTTTGCTTTTCTCCTCTGTGTGGACGTTCATTAATGAGGCTGCCTTCTGTTTTGACGAGGTACGGGAAACAATGTCATCGAGGAACCCAAGCACCACAAGCACCACAACCAGCATAAGAACTACTCCCGTCAACACGGTTACTACAGCGACCTGAAGAGCTCGCAGCTCCACAGCCGACGCAAGAGGAGCATCGGTAAGACCGAATGAATGTCACACTGTGCTGCTCAGAGGTTGCACCGTGATCACGCCGCACACCACAACTTAGCGCAACTTATTACAGTGTCATAGTGTGCTAAAAATAACCCCTATCTTAAATATCGCCCCGCGACATTTGAGTTCCCAGGAGATGAAAACGATCACTTTACACACATCTTAAACAACGCTAATGGTCGGTGGCTTTTATGTGGCCTTTCTGTGGATAAAAGCCACTCTAATGAAGACGTCTACCCAGTATTTATGGCATTAGGAAACCATGAGAAATTAGACGGGTGTGTAAGGTTCACGAGTCCGTCTGACATGAAGCCTTTTAATTGGCTGTGGGCTTGCAGATCTAAGACACGCGCGTCAGGAGAGAAATATATCCTCGAGCGTGGAAATTCCGGGCATTCAGGGCTCAAGTTGCAGCTCGTCCAGGCACTAAGTCAAATTTCTTCATGAAACGCCACGCGGTAAGATATCTGATCAAGGAATAGAGAATACCATGTAGTGTGCGTTAAGCTCTTGCTGCAGTGCAGCATTAAAAGCAAAATAGGATAAAGCGGCTGGTTGTATCTCATGCATGTGGCCATATCATACGTGTATGATACATAGACTATTTTGGCAGCTGTCCACCAATGCCCTCACATTTCTGCACACGTACATATCTTCTTTATGACCTAATGCTATATTACTGTACACCCTCTGTCACGTCTTTATGTTTGAGGGCCTGTCTTAAACTTAAAACTGCTTTTTTTCACCATGACCAACAGGGGCAAAATTAGATTTCCCACCGCCGCACACAAAGGTTTTCAGGCCTAGTGACGCTGCATTAACCCCAGTGAGGCCTCTGAACAAAGGAGTATTCACTTTTTGTCTCACCGACCTGATCCCAAAGCTCCTTAGCTGATATGAGCTCAGCTTTTTGGATAGCTTGTGCCTTAAAGGAGGTTGGGTGTGATCCGGGGTGAGACAAACAGCTCCCACATCGAATGAGTCATCAAATAATGAGCAGCGAAAGAACCCATAACGCACCTGGGAGTGAAAAGGACGGATTCCAACAATACGTCAGCACACGCACACATCCGGAAAAATGTATCACCCAACACTAACGCAGACGAGACGCATTAACAGAGTTCCTCATTCTTTCTTGCAGTAGAGGAGGCGGTCCCGGCGGCGTGCAAGACGCGGACGGTGATCTACGAGATCCCCAGGAGCCAGGTGGACCCCACGTCTGTCAACTTCCTGATATGGCCGCCCTGCGTGGAGGTGAAACGCTGCACAGGCTGTTGCAACACGAGCAACATGCGCTGTCACCCGTCCCGCAAGCACCATCGCACCGTTAAGGTAAAAACACACGTCCCCGACAAGGCAAGATAGTGTGCAAGCTTGTCGACTCGCTGAGAAGTCACGTCTTTGCAATCAATCCAAATCATTAGGGAGGGGTTAAACGCGCAACATCGCACTCACCTCATTCCTTCCACAAACACACTCGTTTCCACTGATACATTTACGCCACTTTTCCTCCCACCGGGTAAGTAAATCATGTGAGCGCTACGGTTGGGTTGACCTGCCTAACTTCACGGTCCTTTCCACCCTTTTTACTCCAACGCTACTCTACCAGTCTCCTCTGAGCCTCCTTGGCGGGGACCCAAAATAGTGGCCACGTTACCCCCGTTGCCCCCCTCCTCTCTCTCTGCCCACTGCAGCCGATCCCCACCATCTCCTCTCATAACCATCCCATGTTTAGCGAGAGTCCAGGGCGGCTGTGCCAGGAAGGGAAGGGGAGAAAGGACAGCGAGGGAGGGTTGTTGGCACTTTCAAGCAAGGACATCTGTTGAAGGGTTGACCAGAGAGAGATGATCCTGCCAGACATAAGACAGACAGACAAAGAGAGCGAGGGAGAGAAATTACATTCCCCCCCCAGAACAAAAACGTATTCCCAATTACAAAAAAACATTTTCTAATCGACATCTTTGCCGTCTTTCGTTACGTTTTTGTTGGAGAAAGAAAGACGAAGAAGACAAGGAGGGTAAGTGACGTACTTCCGGTCCTACCTCCGGGTTGGGAAGAAACAATTTCCTGTACCTTAAGAAAGTATCGTCGATTACTGCGCAGCCATTCCCCTGCTCTCTGTTTGGCCCTTTGTATTTTCTGGAAACAGGGAGTCTGGATGGGGACGACAAAAAAAAGGGGGTTGCACTGTTCTCAGAAGCTCTTTGGCATCGCTAGCTTGAAAACACATGTCCTTCTGCTCAGGATCAGAGGAGACACCGGCGCTGGAGCTGAGTTGTTTCCCCGCTGTATTTACACTACGGACTGTTAGCCGCTGCATGGCTCTGTTTGGAGGTATGGGAGTTATGTGCTCTGTTCTGCAGGAGTAAGAGGCAACCAGGGCATAAACAGGATAGCCTGGAACACTCTGTGTTTTTGTTCCTCTTTGAGTCTATCTCTGGACTCTGTTGTCTCTTTAATCATCGTGAGTCTGCCCGGCACCGGGCACTGGGACATCAAGAAGGGTTTTTAAACATGCCGCCTCAATATACTTGCAGAGCATTGAAACAAATAGCAGGCCTGCCCACCTCCTTCCCCCTTGGCACACGATCAGTTCTAGAAGATTTCAGTTTTCAAGAGGAAATTTACCTCACTTAGTCTCATAGGTGTAGAGCAGAAAGCTGCACTGAAAAGACGACCGTTGAAGGACACAGGGAGCTGCCTTCAGTTAATGATCAGACACGCTGACTCACAGTGCAGTAAGAGCTTGGACGTCCACCACAACCCGTCCGTCTGTAGGCCAAAACAGTAGGTGCTTCAATGCGGGCAGTGACAAGGTTGGATGGAAAAAGACTAACGACGATGGACAAGAAACTATTAGGCCGTAGATTTTTCTATTCCTGGAATGCCATGATGCCTGCGGCTTTAGCCGTGTCCTCTCGTGATACTGAGGACAAAATGAGCAGCCAGACGGGGGACGGACCGCCGGGCGTGGTGGGGAAGGGGTTTACACGGGGGACGTTTTTTCCATGTGGTTCCAGTCGCAGTCAAGGGGAGCCGAGAGGCGTCGTACCCCTGGAAAGGTCATTCGTCAGGGCTCGCTTCGATCGGGAGACATTCACCACTGTGTGTGGGAGACATTGTCTCAAGCCAAGTTTTTTTTTTTTTTCTTTTCTGTCTTTCCTCTCAGCATTTAGCCTGAATAGGGGTTCAGTTTCTGCTTCTCCCTCCGTTTATTAGAAAGCTAAAAGTGTTGCCCGTCTGGCCAAGGATGGGAAAAGAACACATCTGCTGTGTTTTTTTCCATCTCCTGCCACTATGCATTTGTCCAAATGCACCTTCAGTTATTTATTCCCACTCTGTTTCTACACCTTTTTCTTTTTTTTTTATGCTAAATCCCCCAAAAAATAGAACAGGTCTGGGCATGCCCTTTACTGTACAAGCCGGTCCTGTTCTGTAGTGGGGTAATAAAAAATGCAATTTTAAATAGAACTAGCCTGAAGGAGGAGAAGGGGAAGACATTAAAGTTATTCGCTCTCTTTTAAATACTCTGCAGTTTCCCCTCATTTTGCAATTTTCTAGAACCTTTTCTTGCATTTTGGTCAATCATTTGCTGTGGTTTGTCCCTAAAATGTGTAGGTTGCTTCACAGTTTTGTTAGCATGCCTGAGCAAACACAACTTAAATGACAACGGTGTAACGATAATAGAAATGAATAGGTTAAGTATTAAAAAAGCGATTGAGTGAGAGAGGCAGAGATGAAAAGATGGACAGAACGAAGCAGGAGAGGCAAACAGAATTTTTAATGAGACATAGATGAAGAGTCAGCTTTCTCAACTTGAACGGGCATTACTTTACACATTAGTCTGCTTGTGAACGTGTGTGAGCCTCTCTGTTTGTTCTTCCTATGGGGCTGATTAAACAGCCCATGAAACGGGCAAAGAAAGGAGCTGTCACCCATCCGCTCACTCATTAACTCTTAAGGCTTCTGCAGTAGATTTGGTCTCTGGGTTCATTGCATTGTCCTTCGTCATCCACACAAGACCATGGGCAGACAAGGGGTACAAGAAGGGAAATGCGAAAGTTTGTCTGCATATTAAAAGGACGGCATGGTGAGTGCTTGAATCGTGGAAACAAATAATTGGGAGAAAGCATAAATGAGCTGCTAATTATACTCTGTAATACCACAAAGCAAGGGAAAAAACAATATTTGCACTGTTTATTTTAAGTATCTTATTTTCAAAATGAACACAATTGCGAACCATAGGAGCTAAATAGAAGAACTGTCCCTTTTTTAGTGTCTCCATGAGGTGCCTTAATCTAATCATTATGGAATCCTTTGCCAACAACAGAGCCCTGTTGTTTCGCTTGTTTAGTTTGGTTAAGTAGCCGGAAACTTTTGATGGTCCTATAAGTATTTTGCAGAGGTCATAGAGGGTTGTAAGCGCACATCTGTGTAAACCTAAGAATCAGGAATCAGGAACATTTATTACCAAAATATGTCAAGACATACAGGGGATTTGACTTCCCTTGACTTCCCGGTTGGTGCATAACATCAGACAGTAAGACAATGGACAACAAGACAGATAAGACAACATAGCGAGAGGGAGATTATTTGTGTGTGTGTGTGTGTGTGTGTGTGTGTGTGTGTGTGTGTGTGAGAGAGAGAGATTTATGCTACGCTACGTGAACCCGCCCACTGCAGCGCAGGGACAAGGCCATTGGTGTGAAGCGGCAGCATGAGGAAGACGGGCCGCAGGGTAATGAAGTGTTGATGGCTGCTGGATCAAAGTGGAGGCTGACAGGCGGATATAGCCCACAGTTCTGAGTGTGGGGGTCCACACGTCCCCCTTACCTTATCCTACACACACACACACACACACACACACACACACACACACACGTTACCTCAGCAACCGTGGGTCAGTGCCTGTTGGGGGAAGCTGTAGTTGTAGCCCTGCGGTTGTGTGGGACCCTGACTTACGGGGTGTTTCATAAATAAAAGGCAGTGCGACGGCGTTACAGTGTGCATGATTTATGGTCGTCAGAGGGGTCCTGTGTATTACGTGATGGGAGGGACGGGGTTGGGGGGTTGGATGGGACTGAGGGGCCCCCGCGTTTGAAGTTCCTTGAAGCTGTGAATTATTTTCCCTTTGATTCACTCAGCGCTTCTACTAGATGAAGAAGGGTGAGGGAGTTTGTCTGTGTGTATACAAATGTGTGTGTGTGTGTGTGTGTGTTGTGTGTTGTGCACGGCGGGGGTTGCGGGGCGGGTCAGAGACCATGGGAGCGTCCCTACGAAGCCAGAAGCCGGAGAGTTTGGCTACTGCTGCACCGGCTGGAATGCATCAGCTCGAGCAGGAAAAGTAGCAGTCATGTTTTAATCATATTTTACTTCATTTCTTCACTCCTCCTCTCCTGTCCTCCCTCTCGCTCTTCCCCTCTGACTTCATCCTCCCCTCCGACTCTGTTCCCCGCTCAGTCCCGGAGTCTGATTGTCTGTAATGTGAAATAGTTGTTCACTCCCTCTACGGTCTTTCTGTCTCGCTCCTGCAACTGAGCCATCTCACTCTCTAATTTCACCCCTGTGCCAGTCTTTGCCATTTACCGTATATATATATATATATATTGTTTCGGTCTTTCATTAAAGCCATATTTACTCTTTCAAGTGAGTTTTTGTTTTCCTCATCCGCAATTGTTCTTCAAAGACATTGGCGGCGAGGGGGGGAACGTAAATCCAAAGATTACATCTTACTCTTATTCTTTGATATTTGATATTGAACGATGATTCTTTTGGTCTCTTAAGGGAGGGGTGGGCCCATCGTGAGCTCTGGGGCAGATTGATATTTACCTCTGGTGCTACATTAGTTTGTGCGTGTGGATGGAGAGGTGGGGAGAAAGTGGGGGTGCCGTGACGTGCCTTTTTCGGGCCTTGCAGACCTGTGAGTGATTCTCTTCAATCGGACGATTGAAGAAAAGGTTTTTTCTGTTCTGTAGTTGGCTTTCTCGCCTTTTCCTCTGGGTGTCTTTTTCGGATTTCAAGAGGGAGACAGATGGAGTTACAGAAAGTTTTTTTTTTTTTTTTAAGGCCCCCCACCCTCCCTTCCTACAAATTTCCCCACCTTTCATCCACTGGCTCACAGTTGCAGCATCTCAACAAGAGCTCTTTGTTTGCGCGGCTCAAGCTATGCGAGTCTCCCTCCTGATAAATGAACTGCCGCCCCACACCGCCTCTTTCCGCCCTACCGTTCTCCAAACACACGCTCGCATTCTTAATTTTTTTTTTCTTCGCTCTATTCTGTCACTGTTCCAGTTTACGATGGCCCGCGGTGCACGTTCACAACCCTGTTATGTTTTCCTTGGAAAGCCGGGATAAAACTTTCCCCTCCGTCATCCTCTCATCAGCGCTCTGTGCTCAGGGAATTCCCAATTAGTCCGCCCGGGCAATTCGGTTCCACAAAGGGGCCCGCGGAAACCATGAGGACAAACCAAAAGGGGGGGGGGGGGGGGGGCGGGGTGCCCTTCCCAGAGCCCCCTGCTTAACCCCGAGCCTATGGATCAGATATCATTCCACAGCCGCTTCCCCAGGCCCAGCATTTCTAGGGAGTTTTGATCGGTTTGATTTATACAAAGAGGGTGCGGGGGCCTCTGGTCGTAGCATGGGGGGGCTCTCTCTGATGTGTTTTATGTGGGAAGTCATTGACTCTGTCTGGGTAGGAAGCTGGTTTCCTTTGTGCGGTGAAGAAAGTGGCTTAAAATGGGAAAGTAATACACGTATGTGAAGTGGAAAATTGTCGGAGCGAAGACTCAACACCAACAAACGGGAACCGACGCGGAAAGAGTGTGTTAACAAAGTGGGCCGATATAATTTAAGCGCAATTATTGACATTCACAGACAAGTATGAGTTGGGCCTCTCTTCATTGCTTTATCCGTCCGTGAATAGCTGTTTGTTTGGCTAGAAAAGCTGCGGTTCGTGTGTGTTAGTCATATAAGAAGAGCCAGGCCATTGCTGAGTCTTTTGGGATCCGGCTTGCTGCTTTCGAGCCCCCCTCAGTTTCAGGGCCCCCGAACCGCAGAGACAGCTGCGCGTTTCATCTCTCCGTCAGTGTATCTGTGTTGCCCGTCCCCGCGTTTGATACAACAAACCTTTAATACATTCTTCATCTGTGAGCTTAACCGTATAAAAGGTGGTCCGGTGAGCAACCCAGGAGCTGAACATTTAATAGGTAACACATGAATGCCCTCTAATTCTAGTCATGATCACGGTCACTTCCTCCTTCCCTTCCTTAAATTACACCCTCTGTTTGCAGAAACACACACACACACACACACACACACACACACACACACACCATCGTTCCCTAACGAGAGCTTTGGTCCACCTTCCTACTCTGTTCCTCCCTGCTTTTGCCCTTTCACCCGACCATTCTCGCTCTGTCAGAGCCTGATAACAGCAACCCAGACACTATTGTCCTCTGTTTGCTCAATGCATACCTTCCCTTCTAGCTTACTCGCTTTTCACTCCCTCTCTTCTTCCTCTTTATTTTCTTTCCATGGAGAAAGAAACAGTTGCAAAGGAGCAGGTGGTGAAACCGCCGGCCTCTTAATTTCTTTTTTAGCCTCCCCAGATGAACCTCCAGTCATTGTCACAGGACTGTCATGAGGCAGGTTGTGCGAATGTCAACATTTTACTTTGTTTGGTCCGACTGGTATGTTCATTTTTCTGCTCGACTAATTCACCACTGAAAGCCGGCCTTGGCCGTATGCCATTACAGGATGGAGGAAGAAGGCCTCTCGACGGTTTCGGGCCCTGCGTCCTGTGCATGTGCGAGCCTCATGCTGACTGCAAAACAGTGTTGCTCATAACACCAGAGAGCGCTGGGAGATTGCCGGCCAATATCCTCTCTCGTGCAGCGACCAGGAAGATGGGTGAAGCAGGGGATATTGTTTCCTAGTGGCCCCCCGGGCCCTCAGCGGTGGATGGGAAGGTTACCTGCCCTTGGCACCCACATCAGAGAGTGAGGAGCATCTAGCCACCTCCCAGAGTTGCACAGCAAGATTATCCTAACCTCCAAGCAACCTTCTCTATTCAGCTTTCATCTAAGCTTTAATCAACATAGCCCACTCATAACCCTCCGAGGATTGGTCCTTTTTCATCTCTAGCTGGGTGGAAAGTGGAGGTCAGACATGTTGTGTTAAACTGAGAGGGTGTTAGCCGGACTGAGGGATCGGAATTCCTCCATTTACTTTTGTGTTTGCTTCATCGGAAGGCGGATTTCTGGGGTTTCACTTCCTAGATTAGACCACTTAAGCTGTATTTCTTGCATGCACATGTTAAGCAGCACTTTCCATTAACTGTGAAAAAGCATCACCGTGGTTTACAAGCAGCCTACGTGTCAGAACAGAACAAGGTGAGGGAGTTTAGGTGTGTGTCTGTCTGGATGTGGATGCTACAGGCCTCGGAGGGGCGTGTTGGGGGGAGAGGCCTGGAGGGGGGGGGGGGGGGGGGGCTTCCCAGCCTCTCTTCTCCTGCCAGGGTAAAGCTTCCCTGGGCTTTAGGGCGTAAACCACCCCCCCCCCCTCCTACCCTGCATCTCTGCTCTCCCATGTGGAGCTGCTACACAAGGTCATACACTCCATTCACGTATTTACACACCTGATCAACAGCCCATAGAGCACACAGCGAGCGGAACCCAATGCATCAGCCTCTGAGGAATGCTGCCGTCACACTTCAAACACGGGGAGGCGAAGGATTGGACCGGCGTTTTTTTTATTTTTATGAATCGGTGTATGAAAGAGTCATCAGTCACAGCGCTGCGCCTCTTGATTGTTAGCAGAGTGTGTGCATCTATTGACGACACGAGCAATGTTGCCGGTGGCGATGGCCGCGTAAGCTAACCTCTACTCTCTTCCTCACTTCAGGTGGCAAAGGTGGAGTACGTGAAGAGGAGACCCAAGCTGAAAGAGGTCTTTGTGCGGTTAGAAGACCACCTGGAGTGTGTGTGCACGTCACAACATCATGTGGTGGAGCACTCAGATGCAGAAATAGGTAAATGTGGCCGTCAAACATATTGTGCAACGCATATTGTTCTTACATAATCACAAGTTACCCTTTGGCCGAAGAATGACACCGAGATTGAGGTTGATTGGCTGAGTCCCGCCCTCATCCCTCCGTCATCGTGCATCATTGTGTTCCTCATGTCTGTCTGATGGTCTCTCTCTCCCTGTCTCTCTCTCTCTCTCTGTCTGGCCCTTTGGCTTTGCACTGGATGACCTGTGAAGTGGCTTGCTATTGCAAAACTGTAAAGCTTGTTTGTTGGTGCCTTGTGAGGCCAGGGTGTGTGTGTGCGTGTGTGTGTATGTGTGTGTGTGTGTGTGTGTGTGTGTGTGTGTGTGTGTGTGAATATGTATGTGAGTCTGTGTGCTGAGGGAGGGTGTCCAAAGGCTGCTTGGCATGACAGCAAATAAATCCGCCAGTGCCTTGATCTGAAGCCTTTCTCTCCCTGCGAGTAGATAAGCGCTGATTTGTGCTGATAAGGCATCTGAAGTATTTATAGTGTGTTATATCTTTGCTGCTTCTGTCCCAGGGCTGTTGTGCCCCGCTCTGTATCATAAACCTTGCTTCCCGCGTTTAACTCTCCGCCCTATCCTCCCTCCCTAACTTTGTGCTTTCAGGCCACCGTAGGGCTAAAGGTAAAAAAAGAAAACCTAAAAAGCTAAGACCCAGCAAGGATTTATTGGCGACATAATAAAAGTTGCACTCAGTACCCAAAGTCCACTGAAGAGCTGTGAAGGTTGAACAGGTACGACTTTAGCAACACGGCGCCCTCTCGCCTTTCGGCACTTCAAGCGCCCTATTAGGGACCATCACCAATCACATCACAGCCAATCAGCGTGAGAGGGGGGGGGAGGGCGGCTGAGGCGTAACATGCGCTGAATGCTGCATGCTGATTTGAGGCCTGCTGAGCATGCACACCAAATGCAGCTGATTTGTTTCACACTTTCGTGCTTGTCGTGTGTGCACTTTTTTGTTGTGTTATGCAGTACAACACGTTGTACGTCACCGTTTCTTACACATCGTCAATTATGTTGTTCTCTTTCCGTAAAACAAAAGAGAGAGAGACAAAAAAAAAGGAACAGCATATTTTTTTTCACATAAAATGACGCACACATATTTTGACTGGACATGAGGTGTGGTCTAATCACTGTCTTTGAGATCTGGAGAAATATGATTCAGAGCGCTGTGGGTCTTGCGTGTGTCGTGTCAGCTTGTTTGAAATGCATGAGTTTTGCAATCGTGCACAAAATGCAACACATATTTTTCCTGTCAGGTTGCGTTTGTGAAATGTTGACGTTAATTCGGCGCGCTCTCTCTTTTCCCACAGTGGACGTGAGGTGAGAGCAATCGGAGCAAACGACTTCAGCGTGGGAGGGAACTAAGAAAAAAGGATGTTTTTAGCAACAGGAGGCCCGCTCAGTCCTCTTCCACACCGCCAATGCGACCTTCATTTGAAAAAAAGGACAAACTTGAGACTGAAAACAAACACCTAAAAGAATGCCAAATGGAACGTCACCTGCCCGGTCACAACTGATCCCTGCCACTGATTGAAAGAGGAAAGGAAAAGAGAAAGATGTGGTATCTCGGCCAGGGCAGACAGAAGCTGAAGGGAGACGATGAAAGGGATTCGCGTTGGACATTTTGAGACTTTGTTGGACAAGATGCACAACAAAAACAGCTATAAAACAGTTGGATCAAACTTTGGTTGGGTTCCTGTGATCAGACTCCAAAAAACGGCGGCGGGTGACCTCCAGCCGGGCGACATAAAAGTTCCCTGCCCCGATAGAATGACTCTTTCTCACAAAGTAAGAAAAGAGCGAGACAAACGGAAGTGTTTTTTTTTTTCTTCCAAAAACTCTGTGGAGGATGAAACATTTTTAGTTGTTGGATGTTGCCAAGAGAAGATCTTCTCTGAGACTCTTGGTGGTCTGTGACTTTGCCCAGTTGCTATGTACAGTTCAATTTGAAAAGGAAGATGTGCCGCTACTTAAAAACTATTTATATGTGTGGACGTTTGATTTCTGTCTCTTCCAGAACAAAAGAAAGAACAAAAGATTTTTTTAATGATTTTGGAGACATGCGAAGAGTTCTGTGTGGTTCAGTTGTTTGTAACCATCAGTATCACGATCTCAACGTCGTTATTTTTAGTCAATGTTATTGTTTTCATCCATGTTTCTTATTATATTACAGTATATCTGAATGATGTCAAGTCTTGTATATGGTTTGGATACATGTGTGCGAGGAGATATGAGAGTCAGTACAGGAAGATGCTTTATTTTTGTTATGAAATATATTAAGCTTACTTATATCCAAGCAGGAATTATGTTTATTTCGTTTTTGTGATCCCCGTATTTAATCCAGTGGATAAGATGCAAAACTGTGGGAAGGAGGTGGAATTCGACAAGGGAGAGAAATCTGCCACTGCCCAGTTTTTTATATTCACAAAATTATGCATACAGCACATTAAAGTATGTTCATGCCAATCACAAAAAAAGATGTTCGAGCAACTTTAGCGTACGTGTATGCCAGAATGACCCCTAATTTATCCCCTACATGAGGCCACACACACACTCCTAACATTGCTGATGAAGATACCTGCCTTTGCCTTTGCTCATTGTTCCCGCAATGAGCAAAGTCCACCTTAAAGAGTGAATGAGCGCGCAAAGCCAATCGACAAGCCCATGAATGGGCTCCTTGTTTGGTTACGCTTTACCCTTCTGACGACAGGAGAGCAAATCACTGGCCACTCCACCCTGTGAAGATACTGGCACCGTAAGCAGACTCATTCCATCAGGATAGATAGATTCATTCTAAGGGGGTGGCCCAACGTCAGCACAGTGCTGCCCTGAACCCACTGACGGAACAGTTACATCATTACATGATGCATGTGGAACCGGTCAAAAACAACGGTGGTCTTCCGTGTGCAAATGAGGGATTCAAAGACGAAAAGAGTGAGCTATGCTGGGAAATGAGTCAATTCAAAGTCAAGCGAGAAAGGTTGAATTGAAACACGGCAGATAACACACCGTCCATCTGTGAATTGAGCAACAATGAGTTGACTGGTGCTATATTTATAAAGCTGCTGTTCCATCACCGCTTGCATTCACACCCATGTAAGATAGTGTTCTCAGTAACGCAGGGACCATGCTTAGAGATATTTAAATAAATAAAATGCCATTACACTAAACCTTTATTCCTTTTCTTTTGGCCTTCCATTGGATAAAGACAGCAATAATCATAATTTATATATTTATGTTTTCAACAATAAATATATTTCTGCTTATCAAATTGTTCATTGAATGTTTGCTTTGTGTCTCAAGGATGGTATTTTCTTTTTTTAAATATAGGTATAATACGATCATGCAGCACTATATACAGAGACAGTCTGAGGTTATGGAAAGTAGCAATGAAGTGAATTGGGAACATTAAACCATGGCAGAACGAAAGGAGGGTAATAAACCTAAACGTCTGAGGGACCAGCCTCCACTTGAAAAAGCTCTTTATTAGTTTTTTTATTAGTGACTGTCTCCATTATTACTGACAGACCTTCTCGTAAACGTTATCCAACTAAGTGTATAACATCCAAAAATGAGAAAGATTTTGTTATCTTACAAGAACGGAGTCCGTATGTGTTGGTGCTGGATGTGAGGGTGGTGTACGCAGGAAATGTGAGCTTTTCCAGGCTTGAAGGCTGAGCTTTACTCCAGGATCCACCAGCAGCACACGGTAGGTGCCGGGGGCTTTATTACTTCTCCCTGAGCAGCTCACCCTAATCCCAGGGCGAGGGGACATAAAGTCTCCCTCCTCAGAAGAAAGGCCGAACATGAAAGACAGAAAGGATCAGAGAGACAGCAACCCTGCAAGCCAGTGGGACAGGGGATAAAGTGAATAAAGAAAAGATAAAAGGAATAGCACAGGCTTGATTGACTTTATTGTTTTTATATAGACATTAACAGCTTCATTCATAAGGAGGAAGGGAGGGCAGGACCGGGGAGTCAGTGGTGTGTGCAGCCTATTCAGGAAACAGAGTCCAATATGTCACGGTGGGGAAGGAGGGAGGAGGAGGAGGAGGAGAAGGAGGAGGAGGACGGAGCAGAGAGGAGAGTTCCGAGAACACCAGCGAGGAGTGAGAGTGCTGAAGGGGATGTGTGGAGAGGGACGAAAATGAAGAAAAGAGAGAAAAGTGGACTCAGGATGTGGGTAATCGGCACCACAGCGAGAGGGGGCAGACAGGGCAGCACTAAGTGGACATGCTTTCATAAACAATGCCAGAGGGGGGACGAGGGGGCAGACAAGGTGTGAAGAGGGCCGCTGAATGGGCTCTGTGTGTGTGTGCAGCCGAACAATAAAAGGAGAGGTCTCCCAGTGTGAAACATGGACCACTGGAATTTTGTGATTTGACTACCCACAATGCACAGGGTCAGAGTTCAGGGTCTGGGGGTCGCATGGGGGGGATGTAGGTGGCAGTGCAAAGTGGCGGATGCGTTGCGAGGCATTGAGGCACCTCCTTACATTTCCACGTTTGCTGTAGATAAATTGTACTTTTGGTTTTCACACCGTCGGATAGAAAACTAACCATCTAATTGACAGCAGCCGGACCCCCCCGTCCCCCCACTCCCCCCCCTTCAGAAGCAGCATCGGCTACTTCCTTCCCAGATTACCGATCGCGTAACCTTCGCTTCATTACTCACGCCCCCTCTCTCTTCCCTCCATCGCCCTCCCCTTCCTCCTTCCCTCCATGTCGTCCTGTTATGTTTCTCCCCTCCGCCCCCCCCCCCCCCCCCAACCTGTGGCCTCTGGGTTCTTTCTGAGGAAAGGCAGAGAGCGCGTTTGAAGATGCCGACAGCCGAAAGTTTGTCCGGGCCACAGGCATGAATGCACGTCTTTGTCCGCCACTCTCTCACGTCTTCATATCCTGCCCCCCCCCCACACACCCAATCGATGAAACTCTTTATCTTCCCGTGTGCCCCCCACACAAATTTACAGGGACCACGCTCATGCTCTCGCCGGGGCCCCCATTGCACAAAATGACCCCGCTATTTATGTATTTAAGAGTATTGGCCTCCGTGGAAACCAGCTTGGGTTAGCGGTGGAAGCCGGTAGGGGGGGGGGGGGGGGGTTGGAGTGACGAGGGTGTGCAGGGACGTGGGGTGGTCCATGGTCTCATGGCTATCATTACTACCCAGCGTTTTATGTAAACACTGGATTAGGGCAGTGAGGGTTGATTGAGGAGAGGATAGGAGGAGGTGGTGGTGGGGTTTGCCGCAGGAGTAGGTGAGCGTGTCCCTTCTGGGTTCTGGTTTCTGGTTTCACCCTTGGGTGGCGGCCCTTCAGAAAGGTTTTACTCGTGTGCACGCACAATAGCCTCACTCAGGTAATGGTTTATAAGCAACAACCGAGAGATGGAACACACATATACTAGATACTTTCTAGGGCCGTGTTCATACCTTTACTTCCTCCTTGCCTGCAAGACGAATTTAAAGGTAACGGATCACAGAACACGCCGGTAGTTTTCCCCCTATTAATGTCTGATTTTAATCCCTCTTTTCACCCACTACATTTTTCCTCATTTCTTCTTTCTCTTTGTTAATATTCCATGTCCCAGTCTCATCACCGTCCTGTCTCTGGACCCCAAAGAAAGATGGGCAGCGCCCCCGAAAATAACAGCTCTGAAACCTGATCATTTGGTGCTGGATCTCCCTGGGGTCTGACGCTGTCTGACAGATCTGATAAACCAGAGATGGACAGCAGCCTGCTCGGCCTCTCAGCGGGTTCCCGAGCTGAGACGTTACCCGTTTCTCTCCCTGCTTCAGCACCAGCCCTCCGTGTCTGCATCTGGAATGATATTCTACTACTTGATCTCATGGAGGGTATTCTGTTTGGAGATTGGGTTAAATGGAGGGAGTGAAGGAGGGCGCGGCAGAGGAACCACTGAGAGCATAGAGGTCTCTGGAGGAAGATAAGTCAAGATCTAATGGGGGCTGAAGTCTGTTTGTGTGGTAATTACAAAGGGAGATGCATGGATTATTGCCCCACTGTATGTGTGTGTGTGTGTGCGGGGGGGCGGAGGTAGAGTGTGTGAGCGTGCATGTTTCCGCAGCTTTGGAATCCAATTTCCCTTTGCGCATCAAATAAATCAAAAGTCTCCAATTGGAAAGAAGGAGTGAGTCATGTTGTGCGCGAAGAGAGGAGGAAGAAAGCTGTGAGTGTGCGCGTGTGCGTTTACACGTGTGAGGTCGGGAGTAGCCGGCCCAGTCAACATTCTTGGGCAGCAATATTATCAGCTGGTTGAACCATTATCAGTGTTTACTTTGATCCAAGCAGAGGAGTAATGGACTCAGCCGAACTCTCAGCAAGTCTCATCTTTATCGTGCATGATGTTGAAGATGTTCTTTACCTCATTATTTTCAACACGAGACGGACCGCGCAGCCAAAGGGAGGCTTCACTAACACGCTGACTGATGCTGTGTGTGTGTGTGTGTGTGTGTGTGTGTGTGTGTGTGTGTGTGTGTGTGTGTACATCCAACACAGACCCTTACACTGTTTATGTGGCTGAAAGATGTGGGACCTCCTACACAGAGGACTTTGTTCTGTATCTCATAATTCAACAGAGAGATAAGACCAACTGTTTTTTTACAAACTCACTAATACTGGGAAACACTAGTGTTTCACAATTATTTTATCTCTAAGCAGCACTGTTGTCAATAGACAGGTCATAAACAGTTGAAAGAAGAAGAAGAACAAAAGAAAGAAAGAAAAGATGTGAGCTCCTGGGACATGTGACTGTGGACCTCAGTGTGTGTGTGTGTGTGTGTGTGTGTGTGTGTGTGTGTGTGTTTCATGTAGTTTACATTCAACGTGTGGAATGACTGAAGAAAGAGCCAAACATTTATCTGTCTAATGGGGGTGTGATGAGAGCATCACAGAACAGATATCCCACTGTTCACACCGCCTGGCAGGTGGCAGACGCACCTGGAAATCCAAACACACACACACACACACACACACACACACAGACACGCACACAGTGTACAAGTTTGAATGAAAACATCTATTATGTTTGGCCTCCAGAGAACTTGAAAAGTCAGTTTTAATATTTTCCAATGACAATATTCATTGTTAAATCCAAACCATGTCTAAATGTGGAGAGAAAGCGCCGCTAACGTACATTGTGGTTTGTTATCTGTTTGCATGGCGGAGCGATGAGCTACTCAGTAAATCTACATTCTTTTGAAAAGACATCTTTGCTGAGCTATTCCTCTGTGGGGGAAAAAACTATTTTTAAAAAGTACAATTCACCTCATATTATTGTATATAACAGTGATAAAAGGTACGGGAGAGAACGGAGCTACTGTCTCAGGGATTAAACCGCAGCTGCTGTACTTTCCTTCTTTAACGACCGGCTTCTGGCTGTAGATTTCCTCTTTCATCCACTTACAGTGTGTGTGTGTCTTTCTGTGAGGAAATCTACTGAAGAACCCCCCCCCCCCCCCCCCTCTCCCCCCAAAACACACACACACACACACAACTGCCTTTGACTTGAGGTGAAGCTGAAATGTAGGAGTCTGAGGAAGGGTCATGACGGAAAAAAGAGGGAGAGAAAATAATTGGTTTCTTCCTCATGTGGCTTCTCGCAGAAAGTGTCTCTCCATTCCGACTTTATGTTCCTCAAACATTTGTGCTCAAACTCCTGTTTTTCCTCCTGAGTAGTTATACTTTCACATCTTCACAGTTTGTCAGACACTTTTTTTCTGTTTGTAACACGATGTCACTGGAGAGAGAGCGCGGTTCTCCACTTGCTGCGATGCTTTATATTCAGCGGTTTTCAGCCGACCTGAATATCTCCAACGTGACTGTGGCTAATAACAGCAACAGGATAACTGCTACCAGTGCTACAGAAGACGCCTGGTAATGCTATTGTCGCAGGATGAGAAACAGGCCCAGCAGTGGTCGGGAAACTCAGTGACCCGCGTGCCAGTTTGACTGTAACATTTATGAGTTTAATTCAGGTTCCCCCCCTCCCCTCCTCACACCCCCCGTCTCTGTCCTTCCCTCTCCCTCTTTAACTTGCTTTCCATGAGCTAAGCAGCATGCGAACACCTGCTATTTAAAATGACATACTCATTGTCGTGCAGAGCCGGAGGTGTAAATCATTGAGGGGCAACGCCGTGCGTGTGCACTGAAACCCAAAATGACTGACGCCCTCCGACCCGCCGACGGAGAAAGGAGGGCAAAGCAGAACATGCGCTCAGCGTCCAGGAATTCACCTTTCGCTCCCCCTTC